AATCAGATCTGACTGGTACAGGAGGAGATTGCCCCCTCCTTCTCCATCAGAGCATCTGGTGGATTTGAACCGCTTATCTCTGGGATTGCAGTGCAGCGTCTTGCCACTAGGCCACCAGAGCTCCCTTTTAAGAATGTTCTTGAGAGTAAATAAGCACCAGGTTTAGATTGTCTGCTAATAATGCTGTTTTCCTTATTCTGTTCACATACTTATTTTTTTTTAATTATTTCTTTTTATTGCCTTTTTATTTGTTGTGTGTACCATCAAACTGGATGTGACCGGCATAGGAGGAGATTTCCCTCATATACTTATTTTAATACTTAAAAATTCAAAGGAAGTAGTAGATACTATGTAAGATTATATATTAAGTAGTTGACACTTTGCTGCCAGCCTCTCAGCTACCCATATTGGAGCAAGGGTAATAATTATAAAAGCATTTGTTGGCACCTGCTTGGGTTTGGTTCTGTGCTTCGTATTTCACACGTATGATCTTAATTAAACCTCCAAGGAACACTGTGAGGTTGTTGGGCGCCATTGGGTCAGCTATGACTCAGCAACCTTAGATATGCACCTTCCTCGTGATCTCTGGCATGCTTAAACCCATTGTTACAGTCACTGTCAGTCTGTTGAGTCTCATATCTTTTACAGCTCTCTGCTTTTGCCAGCATAATTCCTTGATCCAAGGACTGGCCCCTGCTGACAATATGCCCAAAGTATATATATGAGACAGAGTTTGAATATCCTTGCTTCTAAAGAGCACCCTGGTCGCACTTCCTCCTACACAGGTTAGTTTGTTCTTTTGTCAGACCTTGAGATAGTCAATATTCTTCCCTAACACCACCATTCAATGGCATCAGTTCTTCTGTCATCTTTAGTCATTGTCCAACTTTGAGGTACATACTAAACAATTGAAAATACTGTGGCTCAGGTTAGCTGCACCTTTCCCAGTGTATCATGTCTTTTGATCCGACTGCTGCTGCCATGAGTGTTGATTATGAGTCAAGTAAAATAAAATTGTTGACAATTTCAATCTTTTCTCCATCTATTGTGAGTTCCCTATTGATCCAGTGGTGAGGATATTTGTTTTCTTGATGTTGAGATGTAATCCATATTGAAGGCTTCATTCTTTGATTGTCTTCAATAAGTGTTTCAGGTCTTCTTAACTTCCTGAAAGCAATGTTTTGTCATCTGTATTACTGCAGGTTGTTAATAAGTTCCCTTTAATTCTGATGCCACATTCTTCTTCATATAATCAAGTTTTTCTGATTATTTGCCCAACATACAGATTAGAATAGGTTTGGAGAACGGATTCAACCCAGACATACACCTTTCCTGATTTTAAACTATACAGCGTTCCCTTTTCTGCGCAGACAACCATTTCTTAAACTTTGTATAGGTTTTGCATGGGCACATGTAAGTGTTCTGGGATTTCTATTCTTCCTAATGTGAGCCAGCATTTGTTATGATCCACTCAATCAAAGGCCGTTGCATGGTCTGTGAAACATAAGTAAACGTCTCCCTGGTATTCTCTGCTTTCAGCCAAGGTCTATCTGACATCAGCAGTGAAACCCCTTTTGCCACAGCCTCTTCTGATTCCAGCTTGGGTTCCTGGCATTTCCCTCTTAATGTACTGTTATAACCATTTTAAATAATCTTCAATAAAAGTTTACTTGTATGTAATATTAATGATATTGTTTGATAATTTCCACCTTCTGTTGGATCACCATTTTTGAAAATAGGAACAAATATGGATCTCTTCCATCATTTGGCCAGGTAGCTATTATCCAGATTTCTGAGCATTAGACTACAGAACATGTCCAAGGTTGCACCTGTTTCTTGAAATACCCCCACTGGTAGCCCATCAATTCCTTGAGTCTTATTTTTTGCCAATGCCTCCAGTACACTTTGAACTTCTTCCTTTGTTACCATTGGTTCTTTATCATATATTACTTCCTGAAATGGTTTTTTGTCAACCAATTCTTTTTGGAACAGTGACTCTTTGTATTCCTTCCATCATCTTTTGTGCCTTCTTGCATTATTCAAGATTTTCCCTATAGATTCCTTCAATATTGAAACTCAAAGCTTGAATTTATTCTTTAGTTCTTTTAGTTTGAGAAATGAGGAATTTTTTTCATTTTCTAACCCCAGCTTTCTTTTTATTTTGTTATAATACTTTGCTTTGTCTTCTTAAGCTGCCCTTTGAAATCTTCTGTCCATCTCTCTTTAGCCTTTCTTCTCTTTGTTTTGGCTTCTTTATGTTCTAGTGCAAGTTTCAGAGTCTCTTCTGGCTTCTATTTTGGGGGTTTTTCTCACCCTCTCTTTACAGTGACCTTTTACATTCTTCACGGATGATACTCTTTTTTTTTTTCTTATTGTGATTTTAACACATTGCCGCACACTTTTAAAATTGACAACAGTGCTTATAAACACATTTGCATCATTTGTGGCAACATGTTAACAAAAAATTTATAGAAAAGTTGTATTTTCATTTATTCATAGTTGCACATTTTCATCCCTGCCCTCTTCAGTTTACTTTAAAAAAAAAGTTTCCTCCCTCCCACTACACCTCCTCCAGTCCACTTTGCTGTGTACCTTTTGTTCTGGACTGTTGTCATACAAATAATGTGTAATCATGTATTCCTTTTAAGTAGCTCTTTCCTTCCTCTGTTCCAATACATTATTTATTTTCTATCCCCTCTTTTCCTAGTTTCCCTCCTACCTGCCCCATGTCAGTCCTGTTTTATAGCTATGTTGTTACACAGTATTTGTTCTTTTGTGATTGAGCTATTTCACTCAGCATAATGTCCTGCAGGGTCACCAATATTGTGTAAAGATTTACAAGTTCCTTGTTTTTCATTGCTGCATAGTATTCCATTATATGAATATACCTTAGTTTCTCTATCCATTAATTTGGATGGACAAATTAACATCTTCCATCTCTTTGCTGTTGTGAATAATGGAGCAGTAAACATGGCTGCGCATGTATCTGTTTGGGTGGCATCTCTGGTTTCTTTAGGGTATATTCCTAGTAGTGAAATTTCTGGGTCCAATGGTATTTCTATTTCCAAATTTTTGAGAAAGCACCATCCTGTCATCCAGAGTGGTTGCACCATTTTACACTTCTGAATAAGGGTTCCAGTTTCTCCACAACTTCACCAGCATTTGTTTTTTCTGCTCTCTTGAACTTTGTGATTGTTACTGGAGTGAGATGATATCTTATAGTTGTTTTTATTTGCATCTCTCTGATAGCCTAGGGATCGTTAACATTTCTTCATATGTTTTTAAACTCATTTGGGATAGACTCATCATGGTTGCATTTTTATTCTCCTCAACTTGTTTCCATTTTCTTCAGTTTCTGTTTGAACTTGCACATGAGTAATTGGTGCTCTATTCTACAGTCAGTCTCTGGCCCTGTTTTGACTGCTGATATTGAGCTTCTCCATCAACTCTTTCTATAGATGTAGTCTGACTAATTCCTGTGTAGTCTGTCAGATAAGGGACATGTTTATAGCCACCATTTTTTGTAGAAGAGAAATGTGATGCTGGCAGCCATGGTACCAGTCAAGGTCACCTGTGGTGGACAGATTTTAGCAGAGTTTCCAGTCTAAGAACCAGGACTGGCCACCCACTTCTGAAAGAAGAGATCGTCAAAAGTGAATAACAGATACATTGCTGAACATAACAAACATCCATTAATCACTGGAACATGGAATGTATGAAGTAGAAAATCCAGGAAAATTGGAAGTTTAAAAAAAAATAAAATGGGGCACACAAAGATTGATATCCTAGGTGAGCCGACATGGACTGGTATTGGCCATTTTTAATCAGACAGTCACATGATTTATTATGCCAGTAATGACAAACTGAAGTATGATTGGTTTTTCATTCATTGTAAAAAAGAACATTTCAGTATCTTTCCTGAAGTACACTGCTGTGAGTGATAGAATACTATCCATAGGCATAAAAGGAAGACCTGTAGACGGAGCTCTGGTGGCCTAGAGGCAAGACGCTACACTGTGATTCCAGAGGTACGTGGTTCACATCCACCAGATGCTCTGCTGGAGAAGGAGGGGACAATCTCCTCCTGTACCAGTAAGATCTGATTTGACGGTACACATAAAAAATAATACAATAAAGTTTTAAAAAAAGGAAGACCTGTTAATACGCCTATCATTCAAATATACCTGCAAACTACTAAAACCAAACATGTAGAAATTGGGCATTTCTACCAATTTTTGCAGCCTGAAATTGAGGGAATGTGCAATCAAGATGCATTAATAGTTGGTGACTGAAATGTAAAAGCCATAAACAGAGAAGACGGACTTGTAGAAATTAGGGCCTTAGTGACTGAAATGAAGCTAGAGATCGAATGAGAGATTTTGTATAATCAGCAATTGTACAAAATTGCAAATACCCTTATTTTTTAAAAAAAAAAATACCTAAATGGTGACTCTGAAGTAGGGAGTATGATAATATTAAATGTAAACTCTAGGTAATAAAGACCTGTCGCATAGTTTTTGTAATAACGGGTGACTTGGCTCCACCCAGCACCCAGCATGCACTTTCTCTTGGATTACTGAGACCCTTGCTCACTGTCCATCTTCGTGCCCAAGGGTAGGGCTGGAGAGGGGGCTGGAGAACTAGCACAGTGATTATGTACCCCGACTCTGAGCTGCACTCTGGCCCAGAAGCTGCTAGAATCCACCAGGCTCCATGGGAGAAGGACAAGCAGTCAGCTCCCATGTGACTCACAGCCTCAGAAACCCAGTGGGGAGTCACCATGAATGGAAGCAACTCTACAGCAGTGAGTGTGAGGCTTTGGGAGCACCTTGGCCTCAGTTGGAATCCTGGCCTTGACCTCTTGGAAAGTTAACCTCCGTTTCCTCTTTTGTAAGAAAGAAAAAATCTTGTGAAAATTAAGTGTGTCAGGAGTAGCTGCGACCTGTGGCCTGGCAGGACGCCTAGCTGGCTACCCCTGACTCAGGGTCCCTCCATTCCAGCAATTCCCCTTCTGTCTGATGTCAGTGAATATCACCCGCATCACGATCCAGGCCCTAAGGGAGGAGTGTCTCACCAGGTGAGTCCCCACACCGTTCACCCCAGCTGGTTCGGGTAGTCCAGCTGAGCCTCCCTCACAGTCTCACTACATCTTCCTGGATGTCAGGGCCTGGACAAGTCCACTTGTACCATCTCCCTGCCATCTCTCTTCTCCAACCTTGATGTGACGTGGAGGCCACCTCACATCATGGGCGGACGGGTGGGGATGTTGTATGCTGGTCAGACCTGGGGGATTGAGGCACAGTCTCCTGGGAAGGGTGAAGAGCACCAGCTGTCCTCTTTGTCCATGCATGAGCCAACTACCTCCCTGCAGGGAGTGTAATCGGCAACACAAGGTGATCCCGGTGGTGAACAGCTTCTACGCAGCCACTTTCCTCCGCCTGGCCCATGTCTGGAGGACGCAACAGAAAACCATCTCAGACTCAGGCTTCGTCCTCAAAGGTATACGCTTCCTCTTGGGAAGGCTTGGGCTCCTGATTGCCTAGTGTCCCCAGGTTCAGGGTCCAGGGTTGGTTTTGGCTGCAGTTCCCTTCCTCGCAGGCTCCATCCTCACAGCTTCTATCCACCCTCATAGCCTCCACACTCTCAGCCTCCATCCTTGCAGTCTCTGTCCTTCCAGCCTCCCTTCCTCTCAGCCTCCATCCTCGCAGCTGCCCTTCCTCTCAGCCTGCATTCTCACAGATGTCCTTCCTCTCAGCCTCCCTTTCTCACAACCTCCATCCTCACAGCCCCCCTTCTCTCAGCCTCCATCCTCACAGCCTCCATCCTCACAGCTTCCCTTCCTCTCAGCCTCCATCCTCGCAGCCTCCATCCTTGCAGCCTCCCTTCCTCTCAGCCTCTTTCCTCTTCTTGGTATTTGTCCTTTTTCTGCGACCACTTACTTTGCAGTCTTTGTGACCTTACACCTATCATGAAGATAGGCTCCAATCAAAACATTGGAGGACTATGTCTAACAGTTGGACTACCTTTTCTAAGTTGAGATTGTCCATGACAACACAGACTGTATGGTCCCTATGGCCCTGACTCCCAGGTCTCCCCATCTAGTCATCTCTTCATAGTATCCGTATTGGGGAAGCTCCTGAGAGCCACCAGCTTTGAGACCATGAGTGTTATGAAGTGAAGCCTCAAGCCCCTCACACTTTTCATTCCCTGATATCTCTATTCCAGACTTGGAAGTGTTGGCCAAGAAAAGCCCACGGCGCCTGCTCAAGACCCTGGAGATCTACTTAGATGGGGTGTCAAAGGGACAGGCCTCCTTGTTACAGGTGCCCAAGTTCTACGAGCCCCAAGCCCGTCACTCCAAGGATCTCCCCTTCACAGGTGTGTGTGACCTGCCAGCACAGTCATCTGAAAGCAGAGGTACAAGGCCAATCTGACCCAGCCCAGGGCTGACTGGTGGAGAAACAAGGGCCACGTTGGCCTCCAGAGAATCCATAGCAGGCTGAATCAGGGCCCCCTGGCTGGGCCCTCCTTACTGTCTCAGAGGGGGTGTAGAGAGCTCCCGGGCCTGCTCAAGGAAAGCCAAGAGCCTCACCTGCATGAGACATTAGAGTCAATGCCAGCTTCTCCCTGCACATCTGTCTTCCAGAGCAGGGAGAAGTTTGCCCTAAACTTAATTGGACTACATTTTACAGGGTTGGGTTCCAGCTTGGCTCAATGAAAGTGTAATGCAAAAACTCCATATAGATGGTTCACTTATCCGCATGTTGAAGGATATTTTTAGAGATTCCGAGCTTGGCTGTTTTCCAGCCCTGTGTCTATAGGCCTGGGAGGCTGTAGTTAGAATGGGATGATAGGAGCGGCAGCAGCCAGCAGGGGGCAGTACAAACCAGCGCCTGCTCACAACTGGCCAGCATTCCTGTGCCAAATGGCAGTCTCAGGGTCCCCTGTACGGTATGTGTCCGCTTACCCGCCCGTTTCTCTCATTTACGATGTAGAATGGAATGGAATGCCCTTAACCCTAATTCAGACTAGGGCTTCCACCCCCATTGAGGCTGATTAGTTTCACCAAGATGGTTTTCTGGCTCTGAGGGAAGGGGAAATCTGTGTACTAGCAGTCTTGAATAAAAGGATCGTTCAAGTTCAAGTATCCTGGTGTCTTCTCAGATCAGCCTTGGCACCCTTCTGAGGCTCCTTGTTCCTGGTGTGCTTAGCACTGTGGCGGGGGAGGCACAGCAAATGGGGAATTGCCTCTGCCTGGCTAACATCCACTGAGCTCATATGGTGTCCATCCTGACAAACTCATGGTGGATAAGTGACGCCCTTGGCTATGGCTGCTGTCCTCAGAAGCTCCTTGCAGGTTCTAGGCAGAGGGAACGATGTTGAAATTGACTGATGTGAGACAAGCATAGGAGTTCCCCTACACTTGCTTGGGAACACTTGGCTTTGTTGCTCCGCTTTCCAGGGGCTCCTGGGTCAGGGTGGCTTTTGCTGGCTGATTCTGCCAAGACATTTGCTGCACCCTCTGGCTCTGCCTTCAAAGCACCACTAAATGTCCTCTGTTAGTGGTCCTTTGCGCCTCTTTTGTTGAAGGGTGTTCCAGATGCCGGTCTCCTTTCCTGTCCTTTGTTCCCCTTAAGCAGAGCATGGGAGACTCTGCGAGGGTCCCCCAGTCTCTCCAATGCTGACCCACTGGAAGGTCCATCACAGAGGCCAGAAGCCACCGATTGGAAAGGAAGTTCCTGACCATTGTCAGTGTGATGCCTCAGGGATGGAGTGGTCTGTCTCCTCTGCTGGGTGGCCCCTCAGAAGCCCTTTCTCTAATCACACCTGCTTGGTACTCTTCCAAGTGGCTTAGTGTGTGGCTTCATATATTGGATGTCAGCAGTACCCAGTCTAGCTGTTTCCACTGCCATTCTTATGACAGACATCTTATGGGAAGGGTCTCAACCCTCAGACAGTAAATACAAACATCTTCTGCATACTTTTTTTAGGAAAGGGACTAAGAGATATTGTCAAGGCCTCAGATTTGGCGTGATCTTCATTCTCTGCCCTTTGAAGACCACCCATGGTACTTGCTCTTCACATAAAACTATCTGGTGTGGGATCTGGATATCTCCGTGCTGAGGAAGGAGCAGGCAGGGCAGGGAGCTGACTTTTCTATGCTGCTTGGTCAGGATTTCTTTTTGTTGTTGTTGTCTGGGGTTTTTTTTTTGGTCAGGATTTCTGTTTGCTCAGAACTCAGAAGTTGTTAGGAGCTGAGGTTGGGAGCACATGGGTAAGGGGGTTCAGGGCAGCTGCATCCACCAGACCTCGGGGATTCTTGCCCATGTTTCACAGACTCACACCTTCATCATGCCCCCGAGCCACGTTTTTCAGGACTCTGTGACCTTATGCACAACTGGGATCCTGTCCTCCACTGCCTTACAATTGGTCCTTTCGGCTTTTCCATCCTTGCACCTATTTATCTGTCTGTTCTCTTTGAGGAGTCCCTGTTGTTGTTGTTATGTGCCGTCGAGTCGTTTGCGACTCATAGCGACCCTATGCACAACAGCCCTAAACCCTGCTCTATCCTGCGCCAAC